TCCAATTCATTTTCGTTAAATCCTCCTCAACTTCCATTTTATTAATGTGATGGTAAAAATAAAAATAAAAAAAATATTATTATTAACGATATTAAGATCACTAAGTTCTCACTCAAATGTCAAAATTCAAAATAAAACCCTAATTCATATTTTTAATTTTTATCAAATTCTCAATAGTTTGATTATGGCATGCTTAAATGCATCAAATCAATAGTTCAAAATAATAAAAAAGCTTTGTGGTGGTGTTATAAATAATAATTTTTTTAAGCTTATATGTAATTATACCTAGTATTAAATACTACTGTGTGCTAGAAAATTCTAAATGATATAATAATGTTATTTCTCAGTTCAATATAATTTCTGTAAACACGGAGATAAGCATATAAGAGATAACCTAATTTTTAATGTGAAAAACCTTTAAAAGAGAAAGAATCATTTGACCTGGCCTAGCAAAAGTAATTCCCTAGAAAATTGAAAGTATAGATGTCTGCTCTTTTCTTGTATTAAGGAAGAAGAGATTATAAAAACAGACAAGCACAACTTTATATTAATATTTTAGCAACAACAGTAATAATTGAGCTACAAGAACAAAAGTTGGTGGCTACAATAACATTAGTCAGTTACAAAAATCTTAGTTGGTGGCTGTAAAGGTCATAGTTGGCTACAAAAGATGTAGTTGGTGCTAATTGATGCACCAAAACATTTGATAACACTTCAAGTGTTTTATCTGAGCTTTATTTAGAGGCTAATTAGATCATTTTCAGCGTCATTACATTTGATTTATCAAGATGCTCATTTTGACTATATACAATCTTGAATTTGATTTCTGAATATTTTTTTGCTCAAAATATATTGAGATTCAAGTATGACGATCAAAATTTCTTGATAACGCATGAAATACAATAAAACATCATCCTTTTTATGGCAAATCAGCTTCCAACGGGAGTAAAATTCATATAACTAAAATTGCCTTTCATTTGCTTTCACTAAATACTTTATCTTAGTTTTTTTTTTTTTATAATAACTATATGACGCAACTAATGGTATTAAGGTTTTTCATAAATATAATGTTTTCAGAATTTTATTTTATAGCCCAAGATCATATGGTTTTTGTCAAAATGTATTTACATATTTAACACTTACATTTAATTTTTTAAATATATGCCACCTTTTGTTTGAAAATGTGTATTTCACCTTTTAAAAGTTAAGATAGTATGAAAGATTTGAGTGATAGGTCTGTAAAACTATTAAGTTAAGGCATCAGATAGGTAAAAGCATAGGAATTTAAAAGATATGTATGTAAATGCTCTTTATTCTGATGTAATTTCCAAAATTAAATTTATAAATGTATTTTCAATGAGAGGAGCATCCGAAGATAACTTCATATAGGTTTTAAGTTTATTTCAATATGCTACGTATTCAAGCATATTAATTTTACTAGCTGCTGTGTCCGTCTTCACCAAATTCTTACATCATGTACGAGCTTGATCGTAAATTGTAAGTAGTTGTTACACTGTATTATAATTTTGGTCCACAAATGTTGAATTTTATTGGGCAGAATAGTTTGCTTGTCAATTCAGCCTGTACACTACGCAATTTAAAAATTGTTCAATATATATCGTGTATATCTTATTAGTGGATGAAGATGCCATATTCTGTTTGGTTAACTTGAACGTCTATGTAGTATGCCATGCGGCTAGTATCAATTATGGCAAATTCTTTAATCTTTGCTTGTCTGAATTCTCAAAGTATGATGTCTTTCTCTTATAAATATATATATTTTTTTCAGTTAGTATATGCTCTTGATGTTCCCTTTTGATAACTGACTTCAATCACTGGTCTTCTTACCTGAAAGTCTTATCATTATTCCCGGCAGGCTGAAGCCCTGAAGCTTAATAGCCGAATTCAAAAAGCGCACATTGTATGATGATCTTGTAACTGCCCCTCAAATTGACGATCCTTAGGGAGAGTTAATTTGTTTTGAATGAGTTGAAATTGAGGTGTTGGAAGACTCTTGGTGAAAATACCTTCAAGTTAATCCTACTTATTGATATGATGAACTTCGATCAAGTTAATCCTACTGATTGATATCGTCAAGTTAATCCTACTTATTGATATGGTGAAAATATTGTCAAGTTAATCCTACTTATTGATATGATCCGGTTTGAGTTTATGCAGTCAAGAGTAAAATGAAAATCTGCCTCAATTTGTTTTGTGTGAGCGTCGAGGACGGGGTTATTGGCTAAGGCTATGGATGAAATGTAGTGGGAGTGTCCGTAGAGATACCGAACTCAGCAAGTAGTCTCCGAATCCATGTGATATCCATAGTTTTGGTAGCTATTGCTCTATAATCAGCCTCTGGGGAAAAACAAGAAACAATGGACTGTTTCTTGACTATCCAAAAAATGGTAGTGAATCCAAGAAAAGTACAAACACTCATGGCATATTTTTGATTGAATGAGTCTCCGACCAAATTGGAGTCAGAATATGCTTGAAGATGTAGTTTATCACAATAGATCGGAAGGCCATAGTCGAGCATTGCCTTAAGATATCTGAGAACATGTTTGAGTTGTTGTTTATGAATATTTGTTGAATCATGCATACATTGGCATAGACGATTAACTGTAAAACTGATCATGTAACGGTAAGGTATTGAAGCGATCAACCTAGATGTTGATAGATAGTAGAAGATGTGCTTAGAGTCGAGGCTGATGAAAATAAATATCTTATGGTAGTTGGGTTTTGTAGAGATTTACAATCCTTCATACGTGCACAGTTTAGTATCTCTAATGCATGGTTATATTGATTTAGATGAAGGTCATATGCTGTTGTAGTAGATTGTGCGCCTAGAAAGTAAGATAGATTTCACAGTGTCCTCAAATTGAGCCTATGTTGAAGGTTGGATATCCAATTGGAAGTAGTCAAAGGGTTATTAGTGGCAAGAAGTATGTCGCAGACGTAAATAAGAAATACATTTTGATGTCATGATTATTATATATGAGTAATGATAGATCCACTTGACTTTGAAAAGATTTGAATAGCTTAAGATGGTCATAAATTGTGGCAAACCATTGCCTTGGAAATTGTTTCAGACTATAAACAGACTTTTGTAACAAGGATACATAATTAAGATACTGCAGATCTAGACAACCCATGGGTTGATGCATATTTGAGATGTCCATGAAGAAAAGAATTAGACAAATCCATTTGAGTGATTTACCAATTGTGATGTAGAACTACCGTGAGAAGTACTCGAATGGTGGGCATCTTGGAGACTAGGCTGAATGGTTCAACATAATTGATTATGAATTCTTGATTGTTACTTTGGGCCACAAGGCAAGCCTTATGACGAACAAATTTACCCACCAAATCAAATTTAGTGTGAAAGATCCATTTGCATCCAAGAACCATTTGATTGGCAAGCGAAGAAAATAAAATCCATGTGCCTTGTGCCCGCAAAGCTTGGAATTCTAAAGACATAACAAGCCTCCGTTTATGTTATTTGAGTGTAGAAGTGTAGCGTGTAGGATCTAAATTTGTAGATATCCTATGTTGTAGGTCAAGTATCTGCTTCAGAACAATGGGATGAGTGGATGTATATTGTATTGAACGAATAGGTATTTTAGCTAAAGATGAAGGTGGAGGTTGAGGTTTTGTAGCTGTTGGTGAAAGGTTAAAGATGATTTGGTTTAATGACAAAGTAGAGGAAGATTTTTCAATTACTAGATGTGAGGTGTAATGTGGTGTTGAAATAATGAATGAAGGTGTTCGTAATAAGGGTTTTGGTATGGAACTATTCAATGGCGTATGCTTGGTCTGATTGGAGAAAAAAATAATGGATTATTTCTTGACAAACATTAACCTAGATTTATGCTCAGAACAATCGTACGAGATCCAATAATAATAAGTTAATTCATCCATAATGTTTAAGATGGCTAACTCATCCATGAATATTAACCCAAATTTTGTAGTTCCTAGCATTATAAAAAATCATCATTATTTAGTAGCAATTCATGTAGGAATTTCAAATTGCAGAAGAGCTAGTTTGAATGATGTTTGAATTCAATTCTCATCCAAAATGTGTGAGGATTGCTTCAATACTATTTTTGCCTCTAATGGTTAAGATCTATTACTAAACGTTCATTCTCATTTTAGGTTAAGAATCAAACAAAGGAAAATGTGAGATGTTATTTAGAAGATGATAATACCTAAAAAAGATAAACAATGTCCATATTTTTCCATCATTTATAAGTTTAATAAATAATATTCATTAATCATGTTAAGTATACTTTCATTTGAAATTAAGTTTTATTTTTATTTTATATAAAAAAATGACTAGTTGGTATGTCACGAGATTTTACATACCAATCAACAAAAAATTTAAATATAACGAATTCACGGTCCATATTTAAAATTCTATATTTCAACTACCCAAAAAAATTCCAAAACTTTAGATTGACCACTTCAATTTCAATAAAAAATAAAAATTTAAATTGTTGAAATATAAATTTTAAATTTAGTTAATCAACAAATTATACAAAATTTGAGTGATGGGTATGTAAATTCCCCTAACCAATAGGGGTGTAAACGAGCGAGCGAGCCCAGGCTCAGCTCGTGTTCGACTCGTTTATATTTCAAGCTCAAAAAGTGTGTTCGTGTTCGGCTCGTTTCACGAACAAAGAGTCGTTTTGACAACCCTAATCAAACAGCTATAAGATATTAAAGATTTGGGCAAGATTTAAAAATTATTGTTTATATTAAAAAATTATTTAAATCTAATTTAATAATTTTTATTCTATTTTCTTAGTTAATATTTTTGATTGATTATAAATCTTTGTAGCCTTGTAGTCAATTAAATTTTTTAAAAATACTACTCATCAAAGATTTGTATATATATATATAATTGATTAGTAAGTTTTCGAGCTAAAAACAAGTGGAACACGAATGAATAAATTTTTATTGGAGTTGTTATTATTGGGCTGATTAACTCAGCGAACAAGCCAAACGCGATGTTGGCATTGACAGCCCTACTAACCAAAATCTACATACCCAAAACTTTCCATAATCGTTGCTGAAAGAATAGAGAATGTCGACGGCCTCTCTTCTTCGGCTTCACCCACTGCCTCCTCGCAAAACCCTAAACCGATGGCATGGGCAACCATCAACAAGCATCCACATCCCTCTTCGTCTCCACAGTCTGCCATCCATCACAAATTGCAGCCCCCGCCGGATGGCAATTTCAATGTCATACCGTGCCACTGTTCCTGCGTCAGAGCGGCTCCTTGCCGGTCTTTCCTACTCCCTCCCCTTCCTCAACTCACTGCACTACGGTCGCTTCCTATTCGCTCGCTTCCCATCCCTGGGGATAGCCTTAGAGCCTCTACTGCCTCTGATCGGCGCTTACAGGTCTCTGCCTTATGCGAGCTTCGTGGCATTCTTCGCCCTCTACCTTGGCGTGGTGAGGAATCCGGCGTTCGGTAGATATGTGAGGTTCAACGCGATGCAGGCGGTTGTGCTTGACGTGTTACTCGCTCTGCCAGCATTGCTGCAGAGGATATTTGGAGTGCCGGCGAGGGGAGTCGGGTTTCGGCTGCTCGAGGTTTGTTACAATGTTATCTTTGTTGTCACCGCGGGATGCTTTCTTTATGGTCTTGTGAGCTGTGTACTCGGGAAGACGCCTTACCTTCCGTTGGTAGCCTCAGCGGCTGACCGCCAACTTTAACCAGGAATTTAGCTGCAGCCTTAGGTTCCTGCAAGTAAGTTTTGGGTGACTTGTTAGTCTCTTTTTCTTCACAGCGTTAGTATGAGCATAAGGTGAGAAATTTGGTTTGTTGGATTGCTATAATTTGAAGGCATTTTATTATGATCTATCTTGGCAAAATTTGCAGTTTAAACTGCCTATAGCTAGTGTATATTAGATTAGAGATGACTTAGGGTCTCTTTGGAGGTTTTTTTCATTAATTTGCAATTCAAATTGCTGCTAATTTGAATTCATGATTTGACTAATTTCTAGCTTCTTTCTAAAAATATTTGTTCGAGGAAACTGTTTTTCAACTTCAAATCTATTAGAGTAAGGCAGTTATGAAAAAGCTATTGCTCTATTTATTAAAAAATATTTGTAATAGTCATAATAATTTTTAAAAAATAGCTTTTCCAGCCCTATAATTTTCCTTTAAAAAATTACAGGTGCTTAATAGATCTTAATTGCTTCTTAAGTGCCTGATAATAGGCACATAAACACATTTGAGGCTGTTTAAGTCTATTATTTGGTACATTAGCAATTCTAATTATAATATGAAGGTGGTTGTAAAAGCTTTTATGAACTTCTGATACAAATTATTCTTTCTTGGCTCTCCTGTGAATAGTCGCACATCATAATGAAATATGAATATGCCTGGTTTACGTCCAAATATCCCAAAGGTTCAATAGTTTGAACCTTGAATTCACCCAATTCATATAGAACTTGCCAAGTTACTGTGAACTCATCAAACTTGTAATAAACACGCTAGAATATAAATGAGTTTTCGTCAAAGCTCAAGTCAACTTGTCTAACATTGTATGTAATCGCCCAAACTGAGGAATTACTTATCAAGCCAGTGACTTTCTCAAGGGAGAACAACGATTTTCCAGGAAGTTGGTTACAAAATTGACTATTCAATTCTGGTAGAATTATGCCACACACTTCATGTATTCCACAACATGTCTAATGAATTTTGCTATATATATTTTTATCCATATTTAACACAACATATAGTTTCTCCTGTAATGCTCAAATCTCGACCCAAACTTATAAATAATGTTCACTGGTATAACCCAAGTTACACAATAGTACACAGTTATGATGCAGTTATTTGTACTTGAAATCAATTATGCTTTTAAACTTTCTTACTCTTCACCCCTTCTTTTTTCTTTAAATTATCCATTCTTCCATTGTGAGTTCTTTTATGACAATTATGTAACCCAAGGGCAATTTGAGATTCAACAATGGAGACAAGTTAAATCGTTTCGATGACTATATTCAGCTGTCTCCAAACAGGAGCTTACTAAATTGGTTAGATGAGATAGTTAGAAAGAAATATTGTATGCTTTTATCAGTTATTATTATTTTTTACAGCTATTTTTAGGCTCATGGCTATGAATTTCTGTATGCTTATTTTTTTTAGTCATTCTGTTCTTGTTAGTGAAGAAACTTGTTGACATCATATATTGTTTTTTTTTAAAGAACTGGCTTAGTCTAATTTATCATGTATGTATCTTATATTTTTGTGATTTTTTTATAGTTGTTCGTATTTGTGAAATGTCACTTCAATTATTTTTTGTTTTATTTCCTGCTAAGATCAAAAAACTATGTTGAGCCCAAAATGATTATTGTCTTCAAAGATCATTAGGGCCTCAATGTTCTCTACATTTATGTTATAAACTCTAATAACCTTTTCATTTTCTCTTTGTTATGAAAAAAGGATATTTTCTTCTTGACATGAAATTCTGCCCAGTTTTGTAACCTGATATCAGCCATGGATCCAGTCTAGGTTCATCCTATTCCAATACAAATTTTTATCTGATGTCAAAATTTTTTTGATTGGATCCAGATCAGGATTAATTATCCTCGTAGGCAAGCCTACCAAAATTTAGTCCAAGTCATAATCTGTTCCTTTTCTTCCATCCAACCACAGAACCTAATACTTAACTTCTTATGCAAAGACACATACAATACATACATTCTTAGTGATTCAAATGTGCCCTGCCACCCTTCTTAAAATCTCTCATTGCCCATTGCCCGCTTTTATTGATCATTGTATTTCAGCTTTTTTAAGTGTTAAACTAAAAGTTATTTCTAATTACTCTCCATCATCCAATAAACTTTAGCTAATTAAAAACTTGTTTATCTTTCACGAATTAAGAAAAGAGCTAAATCCATACAGATAACTTTTTCCAAATCTCAAATACTGAGTCACAGAGAATCAGCATATGAACGAAAGCACGCACTATAATTTTGTGTTATTTACTATCATTAAGCTTCAGATAACAATGCAAGAATTCTTCCAGCCTCAACCACTCTCTAAATCTCATTTGCTTCCACCGTTAATGCCAATATTTGAAACCTTTGTTAAGGTCCCCAGGCACCATGGCTGGCTTCACTCTTCTTTTAGAAGCTTGAGGTTATCGTCTTTCCATCACTCACTTCTGCTTTTTAAAGAGGCTTGCATCTTCCTTCGCCCCCTTCTTTACCGACATAGTTTTATGGGGGTGAAAAAGAACATTTTAGAACATAATTAGCCATCCATTGGCAGAGAGCAGGGAGATAATGATGATAAAGAGGAAGAAGGAGAGGAAGACAAGTCCTTGATGTGATCTGCAGATTCCTGGTGAGTTAAAGAGGGGAAGAAGTGTGATTGGCATAGCTGAAGCTGTAACTGAGACCTTCCCCTGGTCTAAAGGAGTGAGTTTTAGCCTCTTGGACACAGATGAACCTGTTTGCGTTTGAGTTTGCTATGGTTCCTTGCAGTAACTTGATGGAAGATTTGAGATTGCCCATTATCAAACTAATTTTATCCTTCTCTTTTTCTCAGATGTAACTCTAAAACTTGAATTAGTGGAAGCCACTATCAAATTCTGAATGAAAAGCATCTCCAGGTAGTAAACTAGCAAGTAAACCGAAGCCCCCCTGTTGTCTTGTTTGTTGGAACCAAAATCATTCATGAATTACACCAAAATTTTATGCGCACATATAATAAAAAGAGGATAGATTAAGAGAGAAAGAAGATCTATAATAAGAATATTCGAGTTTTCACTAAACAACATTAAAAGGCGATAATAAAAATTTTATGAGCTCGCCATACATCGGCTGTTATTCATCAATTTGATGTTGATATTGATGCTCCATCAATAACATTATTATGGTGTCAAACTTGTGGATTATAAAGGAAAATCAAGTAATAGTTTTATCTCATAAATAAATGCATTTGAGTTGTGAGCCCTCATGAGCGGTGGTAGAGGGAGGGAGATCATCATGCTTCAAATTTTTTTTTTCCTTTGTATAGCATAAGCACTAAAACTTTGTACATTGAGATTCTTCACTTTATGCGTGAGCTTTTCCTTCTAAAAAGCTAGAGCATGAAGTGGGCAATCAATGATTGCATTATGCTACATAACATTTGCGTAATATAGTCTTACTGTGCTAACAAGCGTACTCTAATGTGCTAAGCTCTTCATTGGTAACTTAGAACCATGTCAGGATTCATGAGCTTTTTTTTTAAATCCACCACATGATATGTCCACTGCCCTAAAAATTGATCAGTCCTATTGAGAGGTATAGAAGAAAAAATATTAGTTTCACTATAAAAAAAACAAGTTCATATACCTTAACAATTGTTTTTTCCTAAAAATGTCATACAAATCATCTTTTCCAATAGTGAACTTTTGATTTGTTTTCCGAAAGAAATGCTCAAATCTTAGTCTTATTGAACACATTTTATCTTACATTAATCTTATTCAAATATTTATCTTACATTAAATTTGATACATTCCTTATATTGATTAATACTAGTTTTATGCTTGTCATAAATAGTGAATTCTCTCTCTCTTTTTTATTTTATTTGGTGAGAATCCCACAGGCTTCTTTCAAAAGCTATTGTATGGTGACATGAAAATTGTAAACATGCATGTTCAATAGATGGAGGGAGGAGGGACAAAGATAACGTATATTCTCAAAGGCTTAGATATAAGGAGCGCGTCTACAGAGTGACTCATTATACTAATTACAGCTAAAGTTTATACAGGTTGAGCGCACTATCACGCTCATGCTCACTATCACGCTCAAGCTCATGATTATTGATGATATAAAGAGGCCTTTCTTTAATTGGAAAAAAAAAAGTCTAGAGGATGTTGGGGCCGCAGCTTCTTTAGTCTCTTCACGGTAAAACTCAACTAATGATTCTTCAATATTATCGGCCACGCAAGAATTTATCTCAATTTTATTATCTATTTTAATGGGATTTTTTATCCTTGGATTGTAGTTTATCATTATCTGTAGATATTTAGGTGAAATCTGTGAATTTTTTTATTATTTGTTAGGACAGGTGGCAAGACTAGGCTCTATTGAATGTTGATGGGTTTAGATTTCGACTAGAATAGACATATATTTACTTGATTCAACCCTAATACTTGCAGAAATGTGCTTAACTTTTCTTTGAACTTCAATTATTTCCTCATAATAATCCTATTCATGCCTAAAGTATACTCAAAGGTAAAAGATTGAGATGAATGACTAGACCTAAAATAAATTGAGAAAGAGGTTGAGATGTCTTGCCAGAAAACCTTGAATTATACTCTTCAAAAAGAGGTTATGATGAATATCCAGATGTCATTATTTGAAATTTTGCATTATAATAAGAACTTCGAACATTCTTATATTATCTTACATATAATTTGTCTTTGTAAGAATAAATATTATAATATGTCATTAGGATGAAGATTTTGAAAAAGTTTCAAATTTTAAATTGGTAGCAGGTTTTAAATATGGCTTTCTAGTATTTAAATGATTTTGAAGGTTAAGTTGGCCAAATTTGAGAAAATTTTCTCTTACAAAATTATAGATCTCATCAAGTTGATGAAAATCAAGTAGTCATACATAAAATTTGGATAAAAACGAAATATATATAGTTAAAATACTGGGAGTTATCATAGAAAATGTAAAATACAAAATTTTGGTGCAAATTAATATATATTTATTTTGTATAATATGCTATTATGATGAAGTTTAAGACACAAATATATGAGTGAGTTAATGACTTGATAAATTTTAGTTAACTTAAATAATATGATTACAAGTTAATTCTAATGAACCTAAAAATCCAATCTAAATATAGACACAATAACAAGTTGTTTCCTTAGAAACATGCT